TCTGAGATCACCTTGAGCCTAGACATTGTAGACCCTACTGGACAACACACAATATAATAAGTGCTTATCTCAAGATCAAATCAAATCAAACTAATGTAACCTTCTACACTTGTATCACGTACCTTTGGGAACTGATAAAACACTGATGTCAAAATATAAATTTGAATAATCTTTATTGATAAAATTAATTAACAGTGTTAGAAAGGAAAAAAATCACTGCAATAGTGTGTGGAAGTTCTGTGCAAAGGAGTATTTGCTACTTACATAGTTATTTAGATTTTATTTGGAAGATAATATGAAGAGGCTCTTGCACTGAAACAAGTTAATTATTAAGGACTACAATGTAAACTATTTCTATTCTAAAGAAGGGGGAAGATATGTAATTATAATATAATCACCAAAAAAAGAAATAATTTTAATGGCTCTTTTTGTAACCCTAGGTGTCCAGAAAAATAAAATAACTGATGTAGTTTTTACAGGGACTACTTTAATCTTATAAGTTGATTAAGAAAAAAAATGGCATCCTGATGATTTTGCAACATCCTTACGAAAAAAAGTGACTTTTCCCACTAAGTAAAAATAATTTTGAGTTATGAGTATGTGTGCCCACATGTTCCTGTGAGTACACATATGTGCACCTCTCTCTCTCTCTCTCTGTCTCTCTCTGTCTCTCTCTCTCTCTCTGTGTGTGTGTATGTGTGTGTGTGTGTGTGTGTGTGTGTGTGTGTGCGCGCGCGCGCGCGCGCGCGCGCGCAGGCAGATATCATTCATATCCTCATCATTCTCCATCTTAAATCTTGAGACAGGGTCTCACTGAACCTGCAGGTCACCAATTCCACTAGCCTGGCTAGCCAGCAAACTCCAGGGATCTATCTGCCTGTCTCCACCTACCAGCAATGGCCTGCCAGCCTGGATTTTTATTTATTTATTTATTTATTTATTGGTTTTTTTTTTTTCGAGACAGGGTTTCTCTGTGTAGCTTTGTGCCTTTCCTGGAACTCGCTTTGGAGACCAGGCTGGCCTCGAACTCACAGAGATCTGCCTGCCTCTGCCTCCCAAGTGCTGGGATTAAAGGCGTGCGCCACCACCGCCCGGCTAGATCAGCCTGGAATTTTAAAGTGGATTCCAGGGCTCCCACTTTAAGTCCATACTCTTGCAAGGCAAGAACTTTACCAAAAGAGAAATCTCCCTAGCCCCACTCTGTGAGTTTTGTTTTGTTGTTACTGCCATTGTTTGCTTGTATTTCTCTAATCACTCCTAAGATTAGGCACGGAAAATGTTAGTGATGATTTTGTTCCTGTTTTCTCAAAACAGCTAATTGGGTTTTTTGCTCACTTTACAGTTTGGACTTAACTGTATGAATTGTATACATCAACTTTAGATTTGTAGTGCTTATTGCTGTTTTTTTCACCACTGAAGATCAAACTCATGTTTTTTACACTGCACTCTACCACTGAGCTACATCATCAGCTGATTTGTAGTTCTGTATGCTGAGTATTCGCCTCTATGTGTTTTAAAGAAAACTACTGTGAATCATAAAATTATTCCCCTATACTATAGGGTCTAAAGGGATTTGGTGCCCTCTTCTGGCCTCTTTGGAAGATACCAGGCACACACATTTGGTACACATAAATACATGCATGTAAAACACCCATACACAAATACAAAACGTAATTTTCTTTTTTTGGTTTTTCAAGACAGGGCTTCTCTGTGTGGCCCCAGCCATCCTGGAACTCACTCTATAAACCAGGCTGGCTTCGAACTCAAAGATTCACTTGTCTCTGCTTCCCAAGTGCTGGGATAAAAGGTGTACACCACCACCACCTGGCAATAAATTTAAAAAAATTAAAATAATCTCCTATGACTCTTTTCCTTCTGTTGGGTTGCCTTGTCCAGCTTCGGTGTGAGGGCTTCTGCCTGGTCTTATTGTATCTTGCTTTGTTGTCTCTTGCAGATCTGCTCATTTCTTATGGGAGACTGAGTGGGAGTGGATCCGGAGGAGAGGGGAGGTGGTGGGGAGCTGGGAGGAGTGGAAGAAGGGAAACTGTGGGAGGGATTTATTGTATGAGAGAAGAATCTGTTGTCTTTTCTATTAGGGGGAAGTTGGTTTTCACATTTTTTATTGGGGGGCAACAAGGAAGGGTCATCATCCATCAGCGGGATTATTTGCAGGTTCTTCAGCTTTTCCAGGCATGGGCCCTGAGGGTCCTGGGAGCGGCTGGGTACATCAGGCATGTTCCCATTATCTTGCACAGGCACTGGGTAGTTGTAGGGTGGGTTTGGCCTGGTTGATCAAAACTGCATACTTGGTGTAAGGGCTGGCTGTGGGCATAATTATAGAAAGGCTCAGACACCACCATCACTGGCTCCTTCACCCAGGCATCTTGAAGGCAGAGAGTCTCCTGGCTATCTTGGTCTTTGCCAAGAAGAATCTATTTTCAATAAAAATAAGTAAAATAAAATGACATATTCCCTCATAATGTCTGTAAGAATTTTATTTTTGTTTTTGTTCATCTTAATTTTCATGTCTGGTATCAGAAAAGGAACCAGTTATTTTAACCTTCATATGAAACCAAGTGTTGCAGGAATTTCTGGGAAGCTGAATTTTCTCTAGTCCCAATGTGAACACCATCATTTTTTTTGCAGCCTTTTCCCAGTTAACACCCACTTTGATGGTGATGTCTACAAATTGCTCAGGATGTGTCTCTGTAAATCCCTCTAGCATTTGGGGCTTCCAGTGAATATCTGTTATCAACTGTTGGGCAAAAGCTGTGTTGAGTACTGTCCAGTGCACAGGGGCCTCTGGGTCTTTATCTGTCACAGAGCTGGTCATAGAATTGGTTCAGGGACTCATCAGAGCACTGAGTGACTTTTCAAATTTTGACCAAGATTGTGACTCCACAATCTCCATTGTGAACTCCTCCAGCCCGACTTATCATTCTGAGAAGTGCCTGGAGGACCTCTGGTATGTTGGGGTTACATTTGGGACACTTATCAGGAAGGAAGGTGTCAGCAACTCACTTCAGGTTACTAGTGTTTGTGGTGCTTGAATGATCAGCCAGGCAGGTGCTGCCTAGTAGACCCTACACTCTGTATCTGGAGGTAAAAAGGGCAATAAGGAGCTGTTGGCAGTTGTCCCAAGTAAGTTAGTGGCTGTGCATAATGGTAGACATAAGGTTGACTGTTGTTGGTTGCTTTTTCTACTCTTTTGGGGGGCCCACCACCCAGTTCCCACATAAATACACAGAGGCTTTTTCTCACTTTTAAATGCCCTGCCTTAGCTTTTTTCTATCCAGCTTTTCTTAAATTATCCCGTCAACCTCTTCCCTCTGGGCTTTTTTCTTTTCTTACTTCTGTATATTTTACTTTCATGCTTACTCTATGGCTGGCTGGGTGGCTGTGTGGCTGACTGGCTGGGTGGTTGGGTAGCTGGGTGGCTGGGTGGCTGGGTGGCTGGGTGGCTGGCTGGCTGGGTGGCTGGGTGGCCGTGTGACTGGCCCCCTAACGTCCTCCTCTCCTTGTTCTCTTGCTCTTTCTTCTTTTTCTCCCAGATTTTCTCCTTCTATTTATTCTCTCTGCCTGCCAGCCCTGCCTATCATTTCTCCTGCCTTGCTATTGGCCGTTCAGCTTTTTATTAGACCACCAGGTGTTTTAGACAGGCACAGTAACACAGCTTCACAGTTAAAACAAATGCAACATAAACAAAAGTAACAAACCTTAAAATAATATTCTACATCACTTTATCATAACTTGTGGCTGCTCTAGGGATGGTGGGGTGTGATGTCACTTGTTCAGGAGATCAGTAGTGGTGAATGGCTGATAAACATATTGAACTGGATCTGGTCTGAGAATGCCATCCTCCTGGAGGTTGGCTGGCCATGGAGTTTGACACCACAGGCAGAGGGCACTCGATGGCTGGTCACTGGGAAGCCTTCAAGGGACCTGGACCTTAAGCATACTGAGGTGGAGGATACCCTCCAGCGGTCTGTGGGAAAAGGGGCCAATGGCAGCTGTGGCATGAGCCATCAGACAGGAAGTCAGGATACAAAGCAGACATTGGCACTTTGTGTTCTGAATTCTTAGGGCACCCTCAGGAGGAGGGGTAGAGGTGGAAGTTCCAAATCTTGATCCTCTACCTGGAAGATAGGTGGCTTTTTCGGGGTCGAAACTCTCTTAGAGATCAGGACTGCAGTGGATACCCAAGAGGCATGGAATTGAACTCTGTCTTGTGGGTAGAGGGCCAGACTACACCAGATATTGATGTAAGGAAACTGGTCCAGGTGGCCTGGCTCCCCAGTGCAGGCATCCTTCACTCTGCAGATGTTGGAAAGGTCCAGGATTCCTTCAAAAGGGCAAGAAATGTGGAAGGAGGGCCAGTTAACTTCACAGAAGGTCCTCCTCAGTATAGAAAGGCCTTTGGGGGGGCCCACTTCTCAGACTACTAAGAGTGTACTCTTATCTTTCTGTTTGAAGTAGTCCTGAGTCTGGTCTTTATTTCTCTGCATTGGCATATTTGGTACACTATCATAGGAAGAGGATCCACAGATAAACACTAAGTTTAACAAATGGAGTAGCTGGTAGGAAATGAAAGATATTGTAGACAAAGAAAAAAAATTGGAAAGGCATAAAGAGACTCAGCTAGAAGGCAAGCTGTAATGTTAAATCATACCTGGTCACATATGCCTGCTCGCTCCTGGAATCTTGAAAAGTTAAATGCTTTGCTTTTCTATGCTGCTTAATGGCCCACGAGACCAGTGGCAGCACAGAATCTGCTCTTGCTTATAGAAAATGCTGCATTTACCCTGAGTGCAGGGCTATTTCTTTGATAAAATCATGTCCCAATAGGGCATAGTTTTGAATTAACAAGGTACCTTCCTAAAGTGAGTTCATGTTCCTAACGAAATCACCAGGATGTTTAAAAGAAGAGTCATAGTTCATACACCTTTGGATTACATGCTCATTTTGTTTTATTAAACCAGAGCCTTAGAAATAATCGTGAATTACAAGGCTTGGTCAATACACATTTCCACTGGGATCATTGATACTGCTCTCCAAGAACAGTGTGGTTGAATGCTGTCCACAGCGACCACATTCACGATGTCATACAACCCCGGAGTATAATCAGAAGGCTTCTGGAGAGAATCCACAGTAAAAAAGATGCAGGATTCCACCACACCAGTTTTTCCATCAGTACTGGTAATACAGACCTAAGATGAGAAATGAAGGCAATGAGTATGGAGAAGCATAACCCACCACAGATGACCCTCAACAACCCCTGGGCTCTACTCAGCAGGTCCTTCACTCCATCACTGATTCTCATCCTTAACACACAGGGAATGCCTGGGTACTGTGTTAACACAATGAGTCACCATCCCACCTCACTCCTATTAAATCAGAGAAATAAGACAAACATTGGGTGACTTATGAGAAGACATGCCCTTCATGCTACCCAATATGGACTCACACTATCTCCTGTGTGATGAGAAGACATGCCCTTCATGCTACCCAATATGGATCCACACTATCTACTGTGATGAGAAGACATGATCTTCATGCTACTCAACATGGCTCCATACTCTATCTCCATGAGTTTACATCTTATTCTCAGGCTGTACTAAACAAGGTCTTACCCATCCTTATAAGCAGGCTGAACACCTCAAACCCAGTGCACTCAAAGTTTCCCCACAATGGCCTCACAGCCAAGTCCCTTTCTAACTGTCGTCCACAGAACTTCCTAACGTCAAGTAAAGCGCACAAGCTAGGACTTAACAATGTGTATATTCTACATTATTTTCTGCTTATTCCCATTTCAATCAGTGAATTTGTCCACTTTGGCAGGGGATACACTACCAAACATACCAAACAAAATCCTGGGCAAAAAAGTAACCAGGAAGGAAGAACAGGCAGCTACCTGCCCATGACAAGGGCAACGTGGAAGCAAATTACCTCATCCATATTCTGGGAGCTTAAGGGGCTCACGGTGTGGATGTTCATGTTTGAAGTGCCCGGCTTCATGGAATACTCAACCAGCAACAAGTCTCCTTTGAAAGGCATGAATTCTAAAATAGCCAAGAACATTAGAAGTGTAAAATTTTATGGCACTCCGGTCATGTCACAATACCTAAGACCCTTCATCACCGCAATATGCTGACAAACATTTCCTGAATGCAAAGTAACTTTTCCAAATACTTACACAGACATCTCAAATACCTTCCTACAGGAAGGGACACATAAGGCCCTTTAAACACTGGTTCTCTGACAATGATTTATTCACAGACATGGATAACTAAAAACTTTGTGTCTCAGAGTGAAAGTTACAGCTAGGAGTACTGGATTTTTCATCAAGTGGTCATTTTGAGATCTCTTTTGGGGATGGAAGCCAGGAACACAGTAGGATCACATGCGTCAACCTTGGTACCTAGGCTAGGGGCAAAATATGAGAGCCTATCTGATGAATAGTCTGGAAAGAGGACACAGAAAGAAAGAGGCCTATCTGCACCTTTGCTTTGAAATGGTGGATGTATTTTCAAGATAACTCTCTTATACTTGTGTGATGCTATCATTGATGATATTTTTGCATGTATCCTGACGCAGTGGCAGAAAGATTATGACCTCAACACTCAGAAGAGTCAGGGATGGGTTTGCTAAGGTCATGGACAATTCTCAGATGCATAGTGAGTTTCAGGTAACATAGAAGAACCCTGTATGAGAAATCAAAACAGCCAAATGAATCAATTGAGTAGTGAAAACCACATGGATGCATGATGATGGCATTGGGAGGACAGGACCGCTATGTGATACTTAAAATATTGCCCATTTTCCCCATTTTTATGTACCTCACGTTCAATTTCAAGGACACTTCCCACACTCTTGTTCTTTCCTTTTAAAACTATAAATCTTACCTTCAGAAAAGAGATGGACAGGGAAAGATGTTTCCTTGTCGATATAGATGCTGTCCTGTGTGACCGAGGTGACACTCTTAATACAAAGTTCTCTGTCAAGGTCTGATTGCTCAGTACCATCAACAGGGTTAGTCACAGTTTTCACCTATAAGAGAAGAAGGAGACAGTGGTTGAAGGTAAAATAAAAATTACAGGCAGGAGACTGTACACTTACCAAGGATTCCCCATGAAAACAACAGCAATTTAATGAGTTGACCTAACAGAGTTGTAAGGGTGCTTGCAGGACATAGCACTCCTTGTCAGAGACCTGGACTTTATTAGTCATGCCAAAATAGCACTCCTGTGGCAGAAATCTTTTAAGCAACTGTTGCAGTAAGACTAAGCATCTGCCCATGTAGTAAGGCTGGACAAGGAATCAGAAGAGAAATAATCTTGAACGTACTGGCACAGGAGACAACTTCCTGAACAGAACACCCATCTTGCAGGCACCAAGATCAACAATTAATAAATGGGACCTTATGGAATTGAAATGTTTCTGTAAGGCAAAAGATACCATCAATCGGAAAAAACAGCAGCCTACAGAATGGGAAAAGATCTTCACTAACCCCACCTCCGACAGAGGGCTGTTTTCCAAAATATATAAAGAACTCAAGAACCTAGATATCAACAAACCAAATAATCATCCAATTAAAAATGGGGTACAGATCTAAACAGAGAATTCTCAACACAAGAATCTCAAATGGCCGAGAAAAACTTAAAAAGATGTTCAATATCCTTAGCCATCAGAAAAATGCAAATTGAATGACTCTGAGATTCCATCTTACAGACGTCAGAATGATAAGATAAAAAAACACAAGCAACAGCTCATGCTGGAGAGCACGTGGTGCGAGGGGACCTCTCCTCCATTGCTGGTGTGAGTGCAGACTTTTACAGCCACGTTGCAAGTCGGTGTGGTGGTTTCCCAGAAAATTGGGACTCAGTTTACCAAAAGACCCAGCTACACCACTCTTGGGCATATACCCAAGAAATGCTTAATCATACCACAAGGACACATGCTCAACTACGTTCATAATAGCTTTATTCATAACAGCCAGAACCTAGAAACCAACCAGATGTCTTTCAACCAAGGAACGGATAAAGAAAATATGGGACATTTACACTGAAAGTGATTACTGGAAATGGGGTGCATTTGGGGGTCAGGTTAAAAACCTGCACAAGGGAATCTCCCAGGAATCTGCAAGGATGACCCCAACTAAGACTCTTAAGCAACAGCAGATAACGTAGCCTGAACTGGCCATCTTCTGTGACCAGATTGGTGCCTAGCCCAATTGTCACCAGAGAGGCTTCATCCCACAACTGATGGAAAAACAGATGCAGACTCACAGTCAAACAGTAGGTAGAGTTCAGGGAATCCTGCAGAAGAGGAGTAGAAAGGATTGTAGGAGCCAGAGGGGTCAAGGACACCACAAGAAAACTCACAGACTCAATTAACCTGGGCTCATAGGGGCTCACAGAGACTGAACCGACAACCAGGGAGCCTGCGTGGGACTAACGTAGGCCTTCTGCACGTATGTTACAGTTGTGTAGCTTGGTCCTTTTGTGGGACTCCTAACAGTGGGAACCAGGGCTGTCTTCAACTCATTTACTGGCTTTTGGGACCCTACTCCATTTACATTTTTTCCATCCATTTGAAACCTCCTGAAACTCTGCTGCAGCCTCTTTAACCAGTTGTACTCATCATGTAACCTGTATTTTCTGTGTATTACATATTGTCTGTGGTGTGTTATATGAGAATCAGGAATAGCCATTAAGACTGAAATAAAAAAAAAAAAAAACCTGTGGCCAGGTGGTGGTGGCACATGCCTTTAATCCCAGCACTTGGAAGGCAGAGCCAGGCAGATCTCTGTGAGTTCGAGGACAGCCTGGTCTGCAGAGTGAGATCCAGGACAGGTACCAAAACTACACAGAGAAACTCTGTCTCAAAAAATCAAAAACCAAACACCAAACAAACAAAAAAACACCTGTGTAATCTTGTCCAGATTACCAAAGTAAGCAGGATTTTCTTGCAAATTGCTGCCATTGAAACTACTGTGTCTTATGAATTTATTGTCATTCAATAAATTCTGACACTGTGAAAGACACAAGTGTTCACCTACGTTCCTGACAGAGTGCACTAATGACATAATTGATATTTTTAAAATATTTGAAAAACAAAAAACTGGGAGTTTTAAAAAAATCAGTGGGGGAACACATTCCTGTTTTCCTAATAAATATATTCTTACAAATGTGGAAAGGTCTAGGATGGATCTATGTGTGAGAAGAACAAGAAGTGAAAATGAAAACTTTATCATTAAGAGGATAAAAACTCAAAATACGATCAGGAGCCTGCTTCAGCTTTTCAATTTTACCATGATTTTACAATAACAGTCTTCCAGTGTTTTCCAGCACTGGCAAAGGTATCTTCTGTGGCCTGCTGTTGAGACTCTCAATTGGAACAACAAAAGCAAGAGTAATTTGACAATAGCCATGAATATGTAAAGAGCTGAATGGAAGTGATGATTACAGAACCCACATGGAGGCTCAGCACCTCCTCAGGCAGCAGGGACACATGTAGTACACAGATGTACTCGCAGGCCAAACACTCATGCACATAACATAATAAAAAGAAATCTAAACAACTAAAGTAAATAAACACATACACTTGACGCAGAAAAGAGTGTGAACAATACAGTCTTTGTCATATCAATTCTTCTAGTTTGGATACTGAGTAGAAAATGGCTCGCCACTATGTGATGGAAGTTGCAGAATTATACAGAATCATTTCCATGTTTTTCAAATATTAAGAGAACTGACACAAAATATTTAGAAACAGAATAAGCATCATTGCATTCAGATGCTATAACATCAAATCCACTAAGCTCAGAGAAGTGGGATGTCAACTTTGACCATACATCAACATTTTCTTAATCTTTTTGTGGTGAAAATTTTATTTATACATAGAAGTTTTAAGTTTACTAAAGTTTATGCTCTAAAAAAGAAAAGCAGGGAAACCTTTTTATCTATTTTCAGCAGAAACTGTACATCTCTAATTATTTATTCATATTTGCAATGTAATTTGATCAAAGTGTTACTAAAATGCATAATAGTATTACACTTTTCTTTTTTGCCTCTCATATATAGCATCATGAACACAGTTTCCCCTCCTTCCTCTCTTCCCAATTAGGTCTCCATCCACTCCTTTCTCTTTTCTGAATCTTTTTTTAAAAATGGGTTTCCACCATGTAACTCTGGCTGTCCTGGAACTCACTATATAGATCAGGCTGGCCTTGAACTGAGAAAATTTCCTTCCTCTCCTTCCTGAGTCCTAGGACTAATGCCACGCACCACCATTCCCATCAAACACAGTGGTTTGAATGAGAATGTCCCCAATAGACTCAAGGTGTTTGAAAACTTGGTCCCTAGTTGGAGGGACTGTTTGGAGAGGTTTAAGAGGTGTGAATTTATTGGAAGAGGTTTGAAAATGTAAAGACTAGCAACATTTCTAGTTGTGTGTCTGTGCTTGGAGACTGCATTTGAAGAGGTAAGCTCTCAGCCTCCTGCTTCTGTTACCATACCTGCCGCTTGCTGCTTACTGTACCTACCTGCCTTGATGGACTCACCCATCTTTCTAGAACCCTAAGAACAAACAAACACACTTCCTTAAGTTGCTCTCATCATGGTATTTTATCACAGCAACAGAAAAGTAAATAATACACCAAGAGACTCTGGGTGAATTCAGGCATACCTTGATTGCTTTTTGGATATGAGTTGTTTCGTTTTCTTCCACGAGAGCAATGACACTTGTCCCAATGTTCAGTGGGACTTTGCCACACACCATGTCAGTATTGAAAAAGATAGATTCATTAATCCAGCCATAGTCGGTACAGAGATAGGTCACAATTCCTCTGACAGACTTCAAATTGGAGATATCTATGACACGGATAGACAAAGGCCACAATGGTTCATATCAAATGCCAACAGTCTCTACACAGAAGTCCTACTCTGAGCACCTGTGTAGATGTGAGCACATATCATCACTTCTCTGACCATAACAACCATTCCTGGGCCCTAAGATTGTGACTACTGAATGGCACCTCCATGGCATCTGTGGGTGGCCTGTCCCAGTAAGAGTACAAGTCCTGCTCAGGAAGCCTCTTTAAACTCCCATTATTACTGGTATATGCCTGCCTCAGCAGCAGCAGCAAATGCGTAGCCATGGCTCTAAATTCAGACCGAGCATTAAAGATATGTGCAGAAGGAAGGACATGTTTCCAAACTGCCTTTTATTCTTCATGAACATAATGGGTAAGTAACGTTTTGGGATCTGGCTCCAGTATCCTGCTGGGACAACCGGCCACCTTTCCTTCCTGGTACCCTCCTTATGACTGACTCTGCCTCCTGGCTTCAGATACATGTGTGCATGGGAAACAAGGCCAAATTCAGTCTCCAATGAGATGTTCCCCTTCTCTGGGGAATGCACAAAGGCGTCTTGCAAGGGGAAAGGCAGAGACAGTACAGCCCACAAAGACTTGTGTCACGTGTTCTTTGAGTTGGTCTACACAGCCTCCTGCTTTGGCCCACCAAGGGAGCTTGGGGCACAGTTCAGTGTTGGCCTAACTCTTGGGAACTCAGGGACACCCTCATGCTCAACATCCACTCAGGATGGCGGCAGGCCCCTCCCCGCTATCTGTGCCCCAGTGCACCTCATCGTGGAGAGAGACCCTTTTCTGAGGAGTCTCCTTGAGTGAAGAATGAGGGGACTCCAGGAGGCATACCTTGAGGTTGTTCCTGTGGTGATTCTTCAGACCCTGTCTTCCACTGAAAGATAGCTGAAATTCGGTGCCAAAGTCTCTGCATACTGGTGTCACCACCAGCCTGGGCAATGCCGTAGCTTATGAATGAATCACCAGGCCTGATGTTATGAATCTCAGGGTCTGGCCCCACTGATCTTCCCCAGCCTCTGTGAGATGGTAGTGACCAGCTAAAGGGCAGCCCTCAGGAATGACAGTGACAGGGTACCACCCTGACTTCTGGCAGCTTCCCTTGAAGCTCCCAGGGAGAGACCACCTCTTTCTACTGCCCAGCCAATGAGAGTCAATGGGATGTTTACATCACTGCCAATGAGAGGCACTGGGAGGAGACTTTTGGCCCCACCCACCCATTGTGAGTGCATCAATATGAAGGTCCCTGGAAAATCTGCTTGTAGGTGTGCCCTTGGGGGTACTCAGTTTGGATGTAAAGGGGTCTCTTTCCTACGTTTTCTCGATAGAGCCAGGGTTTTGTCTTAGGAGGTGTGACAGAAGCCTGTGTCCCTGCCCTGCCCCCCAAAATTATGCTTGATGATAAACATAAGCACTATCCACATTGTGGCATTGTTTGAATCAGGGGCAGTGTGTGTGTGTGTGTGTGTGTGTGTGTGTGTGTGTGTGTGTGTGTGTGTGTGTGTGTGTGTTGGTCTTTTGTAATATAAAAATTTGAGGATAATGAAGCCTTACCCAATTATTCTTTATCAATAAAAATCGGGTGTCAGATATTGGGGTAAGAACCTAAAGAGCAGAGAAACAAGGGAGCCGTCACCAGTCACCTCCTACCTCTTTTGTTCCTTCCTCTAAAAGGGTCGAGTTCCTGTCTCAGCCCTGCCTTACTACTTACTGTCTCCTATCTGTCTACAGTCCTCCAAACTTCTATGGATAGTTTTGGTCAGCTAGTGTCTAGTTTTGCCCTCTGAATCTAAGCAAACTTTATTTGTCAGAACACAATCAAAATATCACACATTTCCCCCTTGTGTCTAAATAAAAATAGAAGCTTTTAACTAACATAGTAAAACTATATACAATAAGTACAATAACTATATACAAATATATACAGGTAAGAATTATTTTAACAATGTCCAGTCCATTTGCATTTGACAAATTCAGAGAAAATATTCCAGTACCTATCCTATCTTTGTGAGTCCAAAGGGTTGGACCTAATTCACTTTCTATCCTAACTTGTGTTACCAGCTCAAAACTATCTTTTTATGTCTCTCAACCTTATACACTTTACACCTCTCTTATGAGTTTCTTTTCTGAATTTTGTAACAAGGAAAACTATAACTATAACTATCTAGTCTTCAACTCCATCAGCGACCTGAGAAGGATATAATATTACCTGAGTAAACAGGAACTACAAAGCAAACAACTCCCAAACCTAAGGAATGACAGAAACAGCTGGCTGCTTGGACAGTCACTCAAGGTTCCTCTGCAATATTGGGGGTTCCATCTTCGGCCTACAGGCCTAGAATATCTGACAGATTTTTCTGTGAAACAGGAATTTTGAAGGTCTGTCCTGCCTTGTCTTGGCAAAGTTCAGCAGTCATTTTCTTTTGTGTCCTACTTGTCCAATTTGGACAGTATATATCAGCAGTTGAGGCAAGGGCAGTTTCTTGCCCAGTGGCTAACTTTTACCACAAAGAAAGTAAACTCCATATGGTGTTTCTTTGATGCCCATCATCTTCTCTGAAGTAGATTGGTGCTGCTGGGCTCAGACATGTCTCATTGTCATTAAAAAAAACCCTCATGTAGCCAGGCAGTGATGGCGCCTTTAATCCTAGTCCTTGGGAGGTGGAGGCATATGGATCTCTGTGAGTTCAAGGCCAGTCTGGGCTACAGAGTGAGTTGCAGTTAAGGCACAAAGCTACGCAGGGAAATCCTGTTTCGAAAAACCAAAAAAAAACCTCTCATGTTATTAAAACATCTTGAATGCCATATTCTGTAGATCTCTGAAGTGTTTGAAGACTACTTGTCTATCTAAAATATATATCTCCGTTTGACCTTGAAAACATACCTAATATGACTACAAGCTTGATTGCAATAGTTGACTAACTATTAACCTGCATTTCTTTATTTTCCTAAATAGACTGTAATAATAACTTTCAAGAACTAGAAATTTATATTCATTGTTAACTGAGCTGTATAGGTACAATACCTTGAACAAGAGTAGAATCGTATGTACAGTAGGTTCTAACAAAAATAACATTAGATTTGTTATCAATATACAAAAATATCTTAAACAAGAGTAGAAACATACATACATTATAACAAAAGCAATCTCAAATTTGTATCAATATATAAAAATTCATACCAATGTAAAATATTTAAGACTTGTAGTTCCTTTTTTGGTTTAAAATTATATTCAATAATCTACTCTTTTATCCTATCATTTCTACATCCCCCTTTTTGTTTTATGAACAAGATCCCTGAATCTAATCTCTCTTCAGCTTTTTTCCTGACCGTTACCAATAACAACTTGTAACCAAACCCTTAAATGATGACAAATATCTATAACCCACTGAATGACCCAAAACTGCCAACCCCACCTCTTGGGAATGTGGGTATTATGTTCTTAAAATTACTTTCTCATATCTAGGAGTGACAGTATCTTTAGGAGACCCTGTAAAAATAAGGTAATTGTCAAGTCCTGGGAGAGCTAGCTGTATCATTTGTTGTCCAATCTCTGTGTAATGGCAAAGTATGGGGTTTATCTCAAGTCCTGACTTGAGTACTCTGTGAGGCTGGATCATCTCAGCTAGCCACCTTGATATTATCCTGAGCAGTTTGTAGTTGCAGAGCCAATCTTTAGGTGGTGTTTGTCAGCTTAGTGGAATTATCACAGTCCAGGTGGAATTGTCATTGTGGGGCCCCATCTTCCTTTTGGAGACTTCAAAAGTCGCTGTTAGGAATGGTAATGGTTATTGAAGAAAACAAACATTTTAAATGTCATATGCAGCAGATCTCAAAGAGGTTAAAGGATCATAATTTATTATGCACATCAAGAGTACAAAAACTTAATTGCTAGTGACCTGATAGAGACTCAAACCCAAAATCATGTATAGGAAGCTAGATAAAGCCTTTTTTAGAATTAGTACTCTATATGACAGTTAATACCATTACAAAAACTTTAATATATATATATATATGTTAATTTTATAAATCTTGAGATAATATTTATACCTTAAAAAAGTTTTAAAGAGTCAAAATAAAACCAAAGAGTTATGAGATTAGTGGCAGTATAATAGTCCCTTAATTTTGCTTTTTCTTCTGTCCCATACCAGATCTTTTCTTTTTTTTTCCAGAAAATTGTTTCTCGATGTGATATTCTCTTTTTGTATTTATTTGTTGTGAATGAGTATCAATAAGTAACTGAAAACAAATTTCAGATATAGTGTGGTCCCTAAATAATCTGTATTTTAAAAATTTGATAAAGGGATGCTAACATAGGCTACTTTATAGTGCTTATCCTTAAAGGGTCAATGGAGTCAAAGCTTTTTTTTTTGAGATTATAATATAATTACATTTCTTCCTTCCCTTTCCTCCTTCCAAAACTTCCCATATACCCCTCCTTGTTCTTCATCAAATCCATGACATATTTTTCACTGTTATCGCATGCATTTATGTATATGTATATACATAATTTCATACGCATGTATGTATATATGTATAGATAATCCTGACTGGTTCAGTTACTTGTATGTATGTTTTCAGGGTTGATCACTAGGCACTGGACAACAATTGTGTGTTCTATCCTAGAGAAAACCACCTCTCCTATTCCTATATTTTTTTAAAAAAAATATTAAAAAGTGAAGTCTCTTATTTAAAAAAAAAAGCCAAAGACAGGAAACTAGTTTAGGAAACTCAAATCATACTGGATGAATGGTGCACTGTGGTTTTGGCACCTCACTGAAAAACATTCATATATATTTCTAAAAAGTGCAATTCTCCTTTCTAAGTTATTCTGTTATATTTGATATATAGCTACCAAGTAAATCTTTCCTTTATTGAGAATATATTTTTTCTCCCACATGACACACCCTGATCACGGTCTTCTCCCCTCCTTCCACCTCCCCCCACCCCACTGCTCCTCTCCATCTTCCCTCCCATCCGGATCTACCCCCATTTTCTCTCATTGGGGAAAAAACAGGCCTCCAAGTGATAATAATAAAAACATAAAATAAGATAAGATAAAAAACCTAACACACTAGAATTGGACAAAGAAAACAAATGGAAAGATGAGTCCAAGAGATGGCAAAAGAAACAGAGGCCCACTAGTTCCCACACTCAGAAATCCCACAAAACTACCAAAGTCAAAGCCACAATATATATACAATATATATGTACTGTAGGGTAAAAAAAAAGTCAATAAAATATGTATTAATAAAATAAATAATGAGATAAAATTAAATACAAAGGAAAAACCCTGACATGACATTTTTCAGCAAGGAGCCTCCAAAGATGTCATTGAATTGGTTTTCTGTTGGCTGGACATGCACCCTACTTTTAACAGTAGTTTGTTCTCCTAGTGAGACCCTCTTGTTTAAAATAATAAAATCTTTAAAGAGAGAAGTAAAATAATAAATAGAATAAGCCACACAAGATGGGAAATACACAGGGAATCTGGATCTTGTATGTTATTGTGTTGATTTTGAAATTTTTGATTGTTGATAAGCAAATGACAGCTGCTAAGAGACATGAGACTGAAAGGACTTCATCATCAAAGTAAAAAAGCACTAAGCACTCCTTCGTACCGACATAACTCTACCAAAATTCCTTCTTCTGTTGACAAACTGCCAAATGTTTTCTTAGTTAAAACACAAAGTAAAAGAATCTCACAAGTCATGTGAATCCAAAGGTATCATTTAAATAAATGGCTAAATTTAAAATGTCAAAAAATCAAATAAGAATTATCTTTGTTCACTGAAAGATTAATTTTTTCCTCTTTTTACATTGATTTTTTAAAATAATTTTCCTTTATTATTGAGAATTTCATATACATATTCAATGAAATGTGACATATATACACATTTCCCCCTCTCCATCTCCTCCTGTATCCTACTCAACATGTCTCTCTCCGAATTTTGTTTTCTTTTTTAAAAAAAGTATGTGTTTGAACCAAAGTAAACAATTTGTCATTTCTCAATTTTAAAAATGAAAAATTGGCCACAACCTACACTATATGAGTCCCCCTCCCCCCCAAAAAAAGAGCAAAATGTGTCAGTTCTTAACCTCTAGGACATCTGAATTTTGGTCCTATGTCTCACAGATTCTTTTTAAAAATTGAACAAGTCTGTAACTCAGTTTTAAAGTAAAATCATGGTGCTATCCAGAAAGACAATAAATGTGGGCAAATATCTATCCATGGCAAAGACCCCATGCTCCATCCACAACATAACCCCATCACCACCACTCACACAGAAAGGCCTGATATTTGAGAAGCTGGGGATTTCAAACATCAGAAGATTGCATGTTCGAGGCCAGCCCAAGCTAGACAGGGCCTGAGTTACAAAGGGAGATCCCACCCTACAGAAACAAATCAAAGCTGACAGAAAAAGCAGAACATGGTGGTGCAGGGCTATAATCCCAGTATGTGAGTGATTGAGTCTGGAGGATCAGTGGTTAGAACCAACCCTGGGTTACTTATTAATCCCTTGCAATGTCTCCTCCTTTTTTCTCTTTTCCTTTGCCATTCCCGTCTCTCCAACATCCATACAGTCCGTATCAAACTAGCACAGCCTATGGAGGAAAACGAAGATGGGTCCTCAGTTGGTTTCTAATGGATTCTGGGCTCCATAGAAAGTTGAGTGCATGTCATTGAACAAATGCATTTTGCACACACATGTAACTGTGGTGGGTGAGAACGTAATATAAGCAGCAGAGTGACAATTTCATGCTATTGAGTTGGTAAAGGGAAAGACAACTATGCTTATGATAAAATAATCCAAGTCTTATTTTTATGCTTTCAACATCTGTGTAGATAAATCTATATTAATTATTTTGATTTTTTTAACATAGAACATTAGAGACTTCTTTTATTTTATTTTATTATTTGCGTATATGTATGTCTCTGTGTGTGTACATCCACATATATGCATGTGTGCATACTCACATCCTCCTCCTCCTTCTTTTTTCTTTTTTGTTTTTTCAAGATGGGTTTCTCTGTGTAACAGCCCTGGCTGCCCTGGAACTCACTTTGTAGACTAGGCTGGCCTCACACTCACAGAGATCCACCTGCCACTGCCTCTCTAGTGCTGGGATTAAAGACATGCACCACCACGGTCCAGCGATATTTCCCATTCTCTAGGCTGTCGTTTTTGTCTTATTGACCATGTCCTTTGCTCCTGCTTCTTTCCCCAGAGTGCTGGGATTACAAGGGTTGCCACTCTACCTGCTAAGGATATTTGTTAACAAGTATAAACTATAGCTGGGGCCCAGATGTTCAAACCAAGGAGCTTGTGGAGATGATTTCATATTCAAAGCATAACACTTCATATAGTGTTATATCACAGGATGTGATTGACAGCAAACCTGAATTTAGTTATTTGCCCCCTATTACAAAGGACAGGCCAGGCCCAGAGAGTCTGTGGAGGGGCGGCACTATGCAACGCTTTTTGCAGCTGGGTGCAGAGTTGGACGTGTATGTTTATGTTTCTGAGAAGAGTGCGCACCTTTGGTTAGATTCTGAAAAGCTGAAGGGCAGCGATCACACCCTCTTGCCAGCTGGAGTCGGCATAGGGGTCATAGGTTAGGGGTTGTAGGTTCCCCGCTGTACCTGACCCTGTGCCCTCTCTCTAACACATATTATCAGTAAACGAAATTCCCTGGCAGCATGAGTTACCAAAAGCATCTCTGTGGTGTTGCATGGCCTATGTATTGTGAGGGTCTTTATAGAATAGTTTGAAAACCCAAAGTCAAGTAGAGTCTAGAAAGGATAGAAAAACGGGCACATAGTTTATTATGAAGCATTACTAACTTTTGCATACATGTGCTTGGGCTTTCCTTTATCGCTAAGTGGTTCCATGCCTGTGTCTCTGCTTACTATCACTGTGGTAGGACAGTCAGGAATTAGCATCAAATTTCCAATGTTGAGACCATTTTGCCTTTGGTCATGTGATATCCCTAAGTGGATAGCTGCTTTTACCTCACTGCAAACCACACCAATGCCATGCAAGGAGCTTTGGTTTGGGTAAATAGGAACAATAAATACTATGCTACCCCTATGATTATGCATCTCTAGAACATCTAAGTTACAGAGAAATGTGTAACAATATACGGATTCTTGCTAGGGTTTCTCATCTATACGAATGTTTGAGGGAGGAAGTTCTGAATTTGAGAAAGCCTAGGAAGAGCTCTGCCTTGTGAGTGATTTGCCCATCTCTGGCCCATTAAATTCCAGTAGCAGCTCCTGCCAGCATATCCAAAAGACCAATATTGCCTTCTGTGTGGAGCCACTTCTTGAAGCCTCTGTTCAGGGAAGGCATGGCTGAGCACAGGGCAGTGTCCTCGGGAGGAAGCAGCAGGAGCAGCCAGCTGAGATTCATGATGTCGGCTTGGGACAGGGGCTGCTTTGCAGGAGCTTCAGCTCCAGGGCAGTTGGCTGCAGGGACAGGGCTCTGCCAAAGGTTTCTGGCTCCTGAAGGCAGCACAAGTGAGTGGTTTTGCTTTCTTTCTCTGTCTTCGTGATTTTCTTGACAAGGTAAGGTATTATCTTCAAGGGTCTACACATGCCCTGCTCAGCACAGGAGCCATGTGCCTCTCCTGGCTCTTGAGTAACTGAAATGTGGCCAGTTAGGCTATAAATCAGTTGTGTGAATGTATTTGACCCCACCTCTTCCTTTAAATGTGTTGTTTCCAGTGGTTGCTGGAAATCTTTTTTTTTTTCTGGTTTTCCAAGATGACACAGTTTCTTGTGTAGACCAGGGTGGCCTGGAACTCACAGAGATCCACCCGTCTCTGCCTCCTGAGTCCTGGGATTAAAGGCATGTGCCATCACTGCCCAGTGAGTGGTTACTGGAAATCTTAAAACTCCTTGCATTGCTGGTGGTAATGATACATTTCCAGTGAGGTAAAAGCAGCTGTATTTCCAGTGGGATGATGGGTTCTAATATTTCCTCAGATCAACATCCGTGATATGCTCTTAGAAGAACTGGGGCCGATGGGTACATTACTCACACAGTCAAACATGAATGTGAGGCCACCTGCACTCCAGCTAATGGAGCCTGCCCAGGAGCTCCATGAAATGCCACCAGCAGAGCCACAGGAAATGAACATTGATGATGATGAGGAGGAGGAGGAAAAATGTGGGCCCTTTGTGAATATTGGTAAGGCAAAGGAACCCCTACCCCCTGCTCTTGGTTTTTTTTTGAGAGTTCGAGTTCTCTCATGGCTTTGGGTCAGGTTTGAGTTATTAGTTCCCTTAACATAATAGACACGGTCAAGTGCCCTCCCGAATTACCTTACTGTTGTACCTTCCAACCATAACTTATGCTGGCACTAGCTAACGCTCACTCCACCATCTACCTTGGTTCTCCACAAACAGTTTGATCTCAGCCTTATGACAAGAGATCTGGATGTCCTCACTACCTTGGTAGGCAGGCAGAAGGAAGCAGTGTGGAGATCCATGAAAATACCCTCACTAAGTATCAAGTTCATTTAGCATCAGTTGATGGTGTTTTATTCAATGTGCAGGAATAGAGGGTGAGAACTGAGGATGGGGATAGGATTGGCCAATGGCTTAAGCTAGCATGGGCTATGAGCAGAGAAGCTGAAGAGAAGATCGGGTGAGAACCTAGGAACAGGGCTTTGGTTGCCCAGGATGTGGAGGGTATGTGCATCTGGGTCACATGCTGCTGAACCACTGGGGATGACATTAGAATGGACAAGGTTGTTTAGGGTATACATTGGATTAAAATCCATTGCAACTCATGTCATGTGGAGCAGTACTTAAGAAAGAGAGGTGAATACAGGCTGTCTGCTGAGGCATTAGGACTGATGGAGGGGGCAGGGAGCAAGTGAGGGCTGGGATACTTTACCTTGTGGTCCTTAGGTTGACAGGAAAAAGAAATGGCTGGTAGTTAATTGTGTTGTTTACAACAAAATGTACTTCTAAACTTCAGTAAAAAATCAAAACGTACAGATAATCTGGGCTGCCTGTAAAACCAATGCAATCAATGCAACACACACACACACACACACACACACACACACACACACACACACACACACACACACACTTTGGCAGTCAGTTGGAGAGTTCCTTGGTTTCCATTGGAAACCACTAGAAAGATTTTCTTGGTGATTTGCTTTCCAGTTACATATTTCCCTCTAAGGTCCAGGTGGAACTCTTTCATTCAGTTCGTTAACTTTAAGCCTGGATGGAGTCTCACCACTTCTGGAGATGCCGGGAGGCTAGTACTTCACTAAGCATAGTAGGCTCCTGCCAGCATTCATCTTGTATTCTGGAAATTATAAAGCCAAAGCAGACAGCATTGGTCAGGGGCTCCTGGTGAAGTCACCCCAACCAAGGGGGAAATTGATGGAGAGACTTCTTGTGTCCAAAACAGCAGGCTGAGTGAACTCTGAGACAGTTTGTGGTGAAGTTTCCAAGTGCCCTCCCGCTTCCCTCTAGCATGCAATAGCAGAGCCCTGCTGGACCTTGTTCTCTGACCTGGTAAGATAGACATAAGTGGAGGGACTGCTGCGTTCTACACTCGTAGGGCAATTACCAGACTCCAGCAGGAAGAAAGGGATTCAGTAGAAGCCAGGGAAGAAAGGGAGAGAAAGGTAGACTTCATCAAGGAGGTCAGTGGTGTACTTGAGAGTTTCCACCCAGCCTCTGAGAATTTATTTTCCATGTAACACAGTAACAGCGACCATTTCCATTCCTTCTCTCAGCTTTTGATGTTGGAAGGGGAAAATGATGGACATATGTCAGCACAGATCAAAGTGATGAGTCCATTTTCTGCTTCGTTCCCAGAGTTCCATTTAGCCAAAGAGTATGAAGATCTGGAACCTCCTGGTGAAGAACCCCCAGAACAGCTGCTGGCTGACACCAGGGAGCCTGAGGAAAACCAGAACCAACAGGAGATGCCAGGGACCTCCAGTGAAGTGCAGGAGCCTCTCAGCTCTGGAGCCCATACACAGGCTCCTCCCGATGAGAAGCCTTTCTCTAGTGAGCAGTTAGGGCTATGCTCTGCTCACCGGCAGCAATGTAATATTCACCTGGAAATTCAAACAGGAAAGGTAGCACAAGAGGGTCCTAGAGATGGGCCAGGGCCCTCCCGTGGGCCAGACCTCTATGGGCCAGGGCCCTCCCGTAGGTCAGACCGCTATGGGCCAGGGCCCTCCCGTGGGTCAGACCGCTATGGGCCAGCCCCCCCCCCCCCCGCCCCCGTGGGCCTGACCGCTATGGGCCAGGGCCCTCCCATGGGTCAGACCGCTATGGGCCAGGGCCCTCCCGTGGGCCAGACCTCTATGGGCCAGGGCCCCCCCGTGGGTCAGACCGCTATGGGCCAGGGCCCTCTCGTGGGCCAGACCGCTATGGGCCAGGGCCCTCCCGTGGGCCAGACCGCTATGGGCCAGGGCCCCCTGTGGGCCAGACCTCTATGGGCCAGGGCCCCCCCGTGGGCCAGACCTCTATGGGCCAGGGCCCCCCGTGGGCCAGACCTCTATGGGCCAGGGCCCTCCCGTAGGTCAGACCGCTATGGGCCAGGGCCCTCCCGTGGGTCAGACCGCTATGGGCCAGGGCCCTCCCGTGGGTCAGACCGCTATGGGCCAGGGCCCTCCCGTGGGCCAGACCGCTATGGGCCAGGGCCCTCCCGTGGGCCAGACCGCTATGGGCCAGGGCCCTCCCGTGGGCCAGACCACTATGGGCCAGGGCCCTCCCGTGGGTCAGACCGCTATGGGCCAGGGTACTCCCGTGGGTCAGACAGCTATGGGCCAGGGTCCACCCATGGGTCAGACAGCTATGGGCCAGGGTCCTCTCGTGGATTAGACCGCTATGGGCAGCAGTTCGTTTCCTAGGAGGAGGATGCTCATGTGCATGCTCTGTCCAGCAATTCATTTACTCAGGCGGCAACTGTCAGTGAGCCAGAGGCAGACAATTTGACCAAGAATGACAGCAATGTAGGCTGTGTAAGAGGGAGTTTATGCATACCTTGGGCCTGATAGAACATGTGAGACCTCAGGTAGTTTCCAGATCTCACCAGTGCCCCTTCTGTTGGAAAACCTTTAGAGGGCAGTCACATGTTGTTGCACACCAAGTGAGACACACGGAAGAGAGATCATTTCCATGCAATCACTGTGTGAAAAGCTATAAACACAAATCCAGCCTGCTGAGACACTTAAAATTCCACACAAGGGAGAACCAACCCAAGGCGAGCCAGGGTTCTCTGAGCGCCCTCCACAACGCAAGCCAGTAGATCACCCACCTGCAAGTTTTTCAGCACAACTCCCCAAGAATCTGTTCATGGAAACAGGACCAAAGTAAAGATGCTGCCTCCTAAGAGCCTTCCCCTACACTGGGTTGTCTCAGAAGGACGGTGGTGTTTGAGCTTATTTCAGAGAGGAGCTTTGCTTTTAGCGAGATGCAAAGCCCGCCTTCCAAGGCTTACCAATACTAGGATAGTGGCCTACT